CTACTACTACTACTACCACTACTACTACTACGACGACTACTACTACTACTACTACTACTACTGCTACTACTACTACTACTACTATGATTACCATTACTACTACCACTACTACTCCTACTTACTACTACTACTACTACTACTACCACTACTACTACTACTACTACTACTACTACTACTCCTACCACTACTACTACTCCTACTACTACTACTACTACTACTACTACTTCTACTACTACTACTACTACTACTACTACTACTACGACTACTTCGAGCACTACTACTTCGATTACTACTACTACTACTACTACTACTACTTCTACTACTACTACTACTACTACTACTACTACTACTACTACTACTACTACTACTACTACTACTACTACTACTACTACTACTACTACTACTACTACTACTACTACTACTACTACTACTACTACTACTACTACTACTACTACTTCTATTACTACTACTACTACTACTACAACTACTACTACTACTACTACTACTACTACTACTACTACTACTACTACTACTACTACTACTACTACTACTACTACTACTACTACACGGACTATTACCATTCATACTATTGTGGAGGATGGGAATTGATTATGTTCGGCGTTCCCCGGTGCTAAAGTAGCGCTCCGTGCGGGGCGGGAGCGGTACTCTTGCGTGGACCACCCCCCAGGACAGCCGACGAACATCAATTTCTCATTAATGATTCCTTTTCAGGAATCGTATAGGGCGGGGGCGGTGAGGAGAAAGGGAAAAGGGAGGAGGAAGTCTGCTGCCCAACGTGAGCAAAGGACTACCCCACATGAGGGCCTGACCCTGTCGGTTGCGCAGGTTCGACGGGGGTGCGCCGTTTTGTGCGCGTGGCGTTCTCGGTCGCCCCTCCCCGCCCTCACAAATATCCCTGGTTATCGCCGAACAGTAGTATATGAAAAAAGGTCTGGATACGGCAGGTCCGTGTTGTGCCGGCGCGGCAGCAACCCCGCCGCGGGCGCTGAGGGTTGAACGTCGCCAGCGGCCCAGAATGGGCCAACATGGAGCGGTCTGGCGATCGAAAGGCCGCCGATCGTTCAGGCGTGAACATGTGGTTCCGAATGGGACCCCAGGGAAGGGCCTTTTGAGACGGGCGATGCGGATATCTCAAGACCGCTCGGCTTCGAGCGCATGGTCGCCGCATGACGCTTTCACTCGCGCTCCGAAGTCTCAAATGCCACACCGCCGTCTCAGAAGTCCCCCTCGCTGGCGTCCCTTTTGGAAGCACATCAGTTGAACAATCCGCGCGGTGTGAGAAGCCAACGCCGGGGTCGTCACGACACGAAGCTGCCACGTAAATCGTGCCGGAAAACTCCAGGACGCTCTCGGGGCGTTCCCGAACGCTCTGAGAAGCCTTGAGGAGGCCGCGGCGCCCGATGCATGATGCATCATCCAGAGTTAAGTTGGGCCTGTCCCTCTACAGGAGGAATATCCAAACATAGTCAAAAAATAGTCTGGCGACGATTTGTTGCGTAGTTGTGGTTATGTTCGAATATTTTCTCACTATGTTGTAACTGTCCTTTGAAAACCCGCCTGTAGAAGGACATGTCCGACCTAAATCCAGAGCCGCCCTGCCAGATCTCATAGATGCCCGATGCATTCTTGTCCGATGATGTCCCTGTCCTGTCCTCTTGTTGCGCTGGCGTCCCAGGTCGTCGATTTGTCACGGCGTGGGCCCCAGAGCTTTCTTTAAGTCGGGCATGTTCCTCTACAGGAGGAATATGCAAAGATTGTATAAATAGTCAGGGGACGTTTTTTTACTATGCTTGATTCTTGTTTGATTAGTCTCTCTGTGTCCTCCAAACTCCGCCTGCAGGAGGACGTGCCCGATCCCAAGCTATCCGCCTCATGCCCTCAGGACCAGTTCTTGGCAAAGGGCAGCTGCTTGTTGGCCCACACGGGCGTCGAAGTGCTGGAGACAAGTCGCACTTGGAGCGGTGTCTCGCAGCGATGGAGCTCTGGCCAGCCCCGCTCGGGCATTCCAGGGCATGTAGGCGGTGGTTCCTTTGGCAGCACGCTCTCCCCCCCTTCCTCACCTCGCCCCGTCCTCCCCTCCCCGCCTGCCGACTCGAGCGCCAGGATACTTCGCAGCCCTCGACCGTGACGCTTGTTATTCGTCCAATTCGACGACTGCGGGCCCCACCGATGTGCTTGCGCCAGGGAGCGCTGCCAACACGGTGCCACGGCTCGTACCGTAGCGCACGCGCCGCGGCTCGCACCGCAGCGCGGACGGCGGCGAGGCTTTTCCCTCCCCACTCCTTCCTCTGGTGGGCTTGCTTTCCACCGCCACCACCATGAGCAGCAGGGGGAGGGGGTTCTCATCCTCCTCCTCTTCTTCCTCCTCCTACTCCTCGTCAAGAGTCTTCCTCCTCATCCTCCACCTCCTTCCCCCTCCAAATCATGGTGGAAGTGGTAGTGGAAGACAGGCCCATCCTCTTCTCCGACCTTCCCACGGCAGCACCAGGCCCCTCCTCGTCTTTCACCCCTCGGACGGCGGCGGAGCAGCGAGCGGCGCGTGGCGGCGGCTCTTCAGGGCGACCGCGTCGTTGGCCGAGAGTGGGATAATGATGTGGAGCGTACCAGCGTGAGCGCAGCAGAAGGTAAGAGGGGAAGCAAAAGGAGGGGGAGGAGGAGGACGAGGAGAGAGAGGATATCGGAGGAGGCCCTAGCGTGCTTCTCCCCCTGAAGGGTGCTTGGCGTGCCTCTTACGCTGTGGTCCCCTGAGATCCGACGTTACGGATAGAAGCAACATCATCAACATCGCGGCTAGAGCCCTAGGCCCCGTCTTGCTGCCGCACCTTTCGAGCCGGGGCGATCCGCGAGGGGCCCGGGGCCCGAAAAAATGCCAAATCGCTTGGTGCTCAAACACATGCGACGTCAGGATATCAGGGTCCTCCTCCTCCGCCCCCTGCTCCGCCGCCTCCTCCTCCTCCTCCTCCTCCTCCTCCTCCTCCTCCTCCTCCTGCTGGGCGAGGTTGAGATCCTGCAGCGCCTCGCGCGCGAGCGCGGCTTCGCGCTCGAGGTTGTCGGCAGTGGCAGGCGCAGGAGGCCGGGCGGGGGGCCTGCGGGCGGCCGCCGGGGGCGGCCGCGGGTGGCCATCGAGGCTCGGGGCACCGCCTCCTCCTCCTCCTCCTCCTCCTCCTCCTCCTCTTCCTCCTCCTCCTCCTCCTCCTCCTCCTCCTCCTCCTCCTCGTCGTCCTCCTCCTCCTCCTCCTCCTCCTCCTCCTCCTCCTCCTCCTCCTCCTGCTCCTCTTCGTCCTCCTCGCCCTCCTGCTCCGCACGATTCAGGATGCTCGGGACGCAACAGGAACGTCCGAACAGTTTGCCAGAGCTTCAGGGATGGAGGATGGGCGGTTTTTTAAGGTGGCTCCCGCCTCAGCGCCGCGCAGATTCGTCTTGAAAGTTCGCACAAGCTTCACGGATGGAAGGCGGCTTCCTTTCAACATGTGGTTGCCGTGTGTGAGCGCCGCGCGCATTCGTCTTGCGAGTTCGCAGCAGCTTCAAGGATTCCCATTGCTGGTTTCCGATATATGGTGCGTTGGCACGATGTAGGACTGTCACGGCGCAATCGTCGTTTTTTTTCGCGGTGTTGAAGCACCAGGAATGATGTTCTTTGTGCGGTCCGGGATCATCAGGACGCAACAAACGTTGATTCGCGGCGTCGAAGACCCAGGAATGGTGTGCTGCCACGGATCAGGGTATTTCCACACGGTTGTCTTCCAACGGGGCATTTCCTTCAGTGAAAATAAGCCAGGGACTTATGAAGAGAGAAATCGGAGGAAGGGTTCATGGCAGCATCAGCGATGAGTCCTGGGTTGACACTGGTCCGTCTCCTCCTACTTCTCCCTCCTCCTCTTCTTCCTCCTCCTCCTCCCCCTCCTCCTCCTCCTCCTCCTCCTCCCCCTCCCCCTCCTCCTGCTCCTCCTCCTCCTCCTCCTCCTCTTCGTCCTCCTCCTCCATCTCCTCCTCCTCCTTCTCCTCCTCGTCCTCCTCGTCCTCCTCCTCCTCCTCCGCCGTTGTCCTCCGAGGCCGGTGTATGAGTTCCCCGACCCCCCCCACACTGATTGGATCATTGCTGGGGTAGCTAAGGGGTAAGGGTTTCTAAGTGGTTGCCAAGGTGGGGTATAGCTGACTAACCTAGCCCGGGCTGCAAGTGCCCTGAGCGGCTTACACCGGGGAAAGATGTGGGCTAAGTGGGCGGAGCCCGCGGAGCAAACTCACCAAGCCCATTTAGGCCACTACGAATACAAGAGTAGGCTGAAACTTCTGCGAGCCGTCGGGTAGGGAGGAGGAAGGAGGGAGACAGGGAGGGAGGGAAGGATGAAGGAGGAGGGAGGGAGGGAGGGGGAGGGAGGGAGGAAGGAGGAAGGAGGTGGAGGGAGGAGGGGGAGGGAGAAGAAGGAGGAGGGAGGGTAAGAAGGATGCCGTCAATACCCGTCGCCGCCTGGAGAGAGGCATCGGCCCCACCACAAAGAGATTCTGCGGCCGTAGCATACTCACGAGAGGGTAGGTCGTTGCCTCGCACCAAATGTTCTGTGTTCCCCGCTCTGTCCCGTTTCGCTCTCGTCGCTCTGCTGCTGGTGTCACATGATGGGATCATGTAGTCTAATGCGGGAAGGCTGAAAGAGGAGGGGGGAGGAGGAGGAGGAGGACGAGGACGAGGACGATGAGGAGGAGGAGGAGGAGGAGGGGGGAGTGAGGTGAGGTGGGGAGAGAGAAAAGGGGGTGGATGAGGAGGAGGAGGAGGAGGAGGAGGAGGAGGAGGAGAAGGAGTGCGACGATCGAGAGGAGGAGCAGGAGGAGGCCTGGGCCAAGTTCGCGCTGCCGTTACTTTCTCGCTGTATCTCTGCTTATCCTCCTGCTCGACCACATGCAGTTTGGCTCAGGCTTTTCGAGGTGGGGGCAGCCAGGGCAGGGAGGGCCAGGCTGGGACAAAGTTGTGAGCAGGCCGAAAGATGACCGTGGACCTGAGGATGACCGAGTGCGACCAGAAGGGCCGCGTGGATCGCAGCCGATCTCCACGGAAGGCCAACGTAGTGGCACAAGACGACGAGGCAGAGTTATTGGACGGACACAGCGGAGAGGAAATCTTCATGGACAAGAGCTCGAAGACGGGTTACACCTACGATGACATCATTTGCCTGCCTGGCCAGATCTCGTTCGGCGTTCACGACGTGACCCTGGAGTCCAACTTCACCAAGAAGATCACGTTGAAGACGCCCCTCGTCTCCAGCCCCATGGACACCGTTACCGAGGCCAGGATGGCGATCGGCATGGCCCTGGAGGGCGGCATCGGCGTCATCCACAACAATATGTCCATTGAGGACCAGGTAGAAGAGGTCAGGAAGCCCCAAAAACGGGCATGAGCATAGGTTACCGGGCGTCCACGAGTGCGTTTCTTTTTCCGACGGTGCCGCTCTCAGGGGTGCGGTGAGGGGGTCCGGCGCCGTCGCAGACGCCGGTGATACCCATGGCCAGTCCACGACTAGAGTTCCACCGGCTTCCAGACCCTGGATTCCTCATCCAACGCTTTCTTTATCCAATGCCCCCGCCGTATTTGAGATATTGTTGTCGGCGTTTTGGGGGAGCGCGGCGGGCTCGGCCAGACCTAGAGCCCCAGCAGAAAGGGGCCACAAAAACGACTCTACGCCCCCTGCGAACAGTACGTCGTCGTCGAGAATGGAGGCCCGGGCGCGTCAGTGTATGCTGTTCTGTGTGGTCTTGTGGACGACGATCGATGGAGAGGAAGCATGTTGCCAAACAATTCCCAGATGTGTAGAACATGTTTCAAACATGTCGCAAACATGTAAAAACATGTTTCCAACATGGTTAGAACAGTTCTCAAGCATTTTAAACACATAGTTAATTCAATGATGGTATTGTTAGGATGTCCATTGTTATGGCATCCACAAGTGTGGTCCCTCAGAGGTGACAAAGGTCAAGAAATACAAGAGCGGTTTCATCACTGACCCCATCTGCGTGAAGCCGACCACTGCGCTTGCAGAGCTGGACGAGGTGCGGTCGACGTGTGGTTTTACGGGCTTCCCGGTGACTTCGGATGGCAGGATGGGGTCCAAGCTGCTCGGGTTGGTGACCCGCCGCGATTGCGACTTCGTCAGCGACCGCAGGGGCACCTCCGTCAGCCAGGTCGGGGAATCGCCAACAACGTTCCGAAGACCTGGATTCCCACTTGCGGAGGGTGGGGAGGGAAGGAATTACCAAACACGCGTTGGTGCCGAATCTGGCCACAGAAGGCCCCTCTGTGGGTCCCCAGAATAGCGCGATCAGGTCATCTTGGTCAGGCTGTGCGCCAGGTTGTGCGGCCCGTGAAGGCCCCTCCTCCAGAGTGCTTTGCTCTGGGTCCCGTCAACGAGGTTCGCACACACGGAGGGCACAGGCGATGAGCAGCCACGGTAGAATTGCACGCAGTTTAGCGCAAAGTATTCAAGCCGATGCCCCTGGACCGAAGGCCCTCGAGCACGCGGTATTAGCAAAGGACCGAAGCCGATGCCCCCGTCGTAAAAACTACAATGGGTTAACAGAATTACGCCTCCCTCCCCCAGGGAAGAGGGGATGAAGAGGAGGGCAGAGAAGGGAGGAGGAATCGACGTGGTGGTGGTGGTTTTTATTATTTGGGCCCTCAAACTCAAGCTGCTGCTCCTCTTCCTCCCAGTTTCTCCAGGGCTGGTGTATGCATGCGCCAGGTCCGGGCCCGCGGTTGGCTTCTTGGCCAGCCTCGGTGCCAGTGTTGAGAGCTGGCAGCGCCGCAGGGAGCTGCAGCAGGAGCCACAGATAAAAAACGTTGGGCGTTCTTCTGGGATCCTGCGTTGGGCGTTCTTCTGAGATCCTGGGGCGGATGTGAAAATGATGGCTTTGCGCGTCTGGGCCAGGCGGAAATCTAGACCAGCATCCATGTGTACCCGCTCCTACCAGAAAGGAGATGAAAAACAACAATCGGCACGTAAGCAAACGAAGCCGTGTGGAACCATATGGTAAGTAAATTGAACACGCGCATTGTACACATCCTTGTTGCACGAGTAGCAACGACAAGAGAACCACTAGCAGCAACAGCAGCAGCAGCTCCTGACCATGCCCAGACACCCCCCCCCGTGCTCCCCTGCTGCAGGTCATGACCAAAGTGGACGAGCTGGTGACGGCCGAGGAGGGCGTGGAGCTGCAGGCTGCGAACGATATCATCCACAGGACCAAGAAGGCAGACCGGCCACAATTGAAGGGAGCTGTGTCCTTAACCACATCGTAGGGCAAGTTTTGCGAACGGCAGTTTGCCTTCGGGAGGGCCCTCATCGCCACGGCTGGGCGCAGTTGTGAAAACTGGTGCAATGGGACCCTGGGGTCGGTCCGGGAGCAGATTTCGAGCTGCCGTTATCTCAACTCGCTCTACTCAACTCGGGGGAGCTGTGGCCCGTTCCTCAAAAGAACAAGCGCATAAACATAAATGTTCGGAGATCTGCGCGGATTTCTTAGATCCGCACTGGGCCCCCCTGGCGGCGCCTCCGGCGCCTCCACTGGCGCGCTCCGCGCTCCTGGGAGAGGGGGTCCAGCGGCGCCGATCCAGGAAATCCGCGCGGACCTCCTTCAGTCTATGCTTATGCAGAGCTCTGCTTCTCTATGAACCCCGCCTTGGTCACACCCAACGGCTTCGGCCACCCCCCTCGACAGACTGTGGACACGGTGGATTCCTCCAGGGGGGATGAGGCGCATGGCTCCCGCAATTGTGCGCGGTAGAGAGGGGAAGCTGCCCATCGTCTCGAAGACCGGCTTCCTGGTGGCCCTGATCGCCCGGACCTCACTTGCCTGAAGCAAGATCCATATGCCCATGATCGGCGTCGCTTTACCTCGATGCCGATCTTGAGGACTCCCTCAGTTCCTGAGGACGCATCCCTGAGGTTATCATGGCTTTTCGGGCTGTCACTCTTCGGACTGCGGTTAGATAGCGTGTCGCTCCGCCGGTTCTGGCCCACCACGCTTCGGCGCGACACGCTATACACTTCCCAGTCCTGTCCACATCGCAAGCCTTTCCGAGCCCGCGGAGCGGAGCGACACGCTATATATATATATATATATATATATATCCGCCCAGAGAGCGTAGAGTGTCGCCGGGGCCGCCGCCGCGACACACTAAGCAAGAGTTCCGGCCCGTAAGCTCGATATTGTTTAGGACCGACCTCAAGAAGAACGCGGAGTACCCGCTGGCGACTAAGGACGCGAACAAGCAGTTGCGGGTGGCCGCGAGCATCGGGACCCGCCCGGAGGATCGCACCCGAGCCACGGCGCTGGTCGCTGCTGGCGTGGACGCCATCGTCGTGGACAGCAGCCAGGGCGACAGCGCGTTCCAGCACGACATCGTCAGGCTCGAGGGAAGAAAACTCGAATCGGCCGCGCCGGGCGCCAGCGCACCAAGGCGGTAGGAAAAGCGGAGGGCGGCCGCAAAGGAGCTGGCACCGGAAACCGGCGTGACTTTGCAGTGGAGCACGAAGAAGCGAGGGACGAAACACATTGATCATGACCAAGATGTCGCGGGATCTTCGCGACGCCAGTTTTGGCCATTGTCCATGCTGGCCGTCGCCGATTCGCGAGGAGGTTCCACGAAGTGTCGCTGGCGAAGATGGAACATGACCAAGATCGGCACGACGCTTCCGCGTTCAGTCTTGGTCATGGTCCCCGTTTTAGTTCTCTCCACAGGCGGCCTAGCCTGCGAGGGGGCGTCTCTCGCCTTGCTGAGGCACGAAACTTCAGATCTTAGCGTCGTGAAGAGTCGGTATGTCATGGTTTGGGCTGCGTTTGGCCCTCTTCCCAGCCCCTTGATCCTCAAGCCATGAGCCAGGACGAGAGCCCAGTCCCTGGCCTCCCCCGCTACGAAAAAATGGTGACGCCAGGGGGGCGGGGTGGCGCGGGGTGGATGGCGGGCAGGCCTTCTAAGAAGGAGCCCCCCTCGACTTTAGTCAGGAGCGGAAGAAGGACGTACACCTACATGAATCTACCTTGGCATCGAAGGTGCGCATTGCGCGAAGGCTCGTGTCACGAGCCTGGTCTCGCGAGGATTGGGGGGCCGTGTTCTCGCACGTGGCTGTGGGCGTGCGTCGTCTGTGGGCTCCCTCGCTGAGAGGGCAGGCAGCTTCGACGTCGGAGGAGGATGGGGTGGCGTGGCCGGATGGGGGCTAGGGATGGGGTGGGAGGGGTGGGGGATGGGGAGGGATGGGGGATGGGGAGGGATGCGGGAAGGGGGGGGGGGGGGGCGGCGGCCTGCTAAGAAGGCCACCCTCCCCGACTCAGGGGGCGTGGGGCGCACCGATCTCTTCAGGGGGCCGAGCCCTTTCCAGGAAGCCCTCCCCCCCAGCGGTCTCGGAACGCTGCCCTGCCGGCCCTGTCCTCGTCCTGCCCGGCACCGGTCCTCTTCAGTTTTAGTTCCCCTCCTGTTCTCACGGCGGTAAGTAGGACTGGTCCTAAAACAACCTCCTCCTCCTCCTCCTCCTTCTCCTCCTCCTCGCTCCTCCTCCTCCTCCTCCTCCTCCTCCTCCTCCTCCTCCTGCCTCCTCCTGCCTCCTGCCTCCTCCTGCCTCCTGCCTCCTCCTCCTCCTCCTCCTCCTCCTCCTCCTCCTGCCTCCTCCTCCTCCTCCTCCTCCTCCTCCTCCTCCTCCTCCTTCTTGGAGAAAAGAAGTCACCCCCTGTTGGTGGGACCCCAGCCCTTCGACAAGGCTCGTAAAGACATGTCAGGGTTATTCTGGAGGCCTTGCGCCCAGCGCCGCCGACCCTGAAGGCAGGACCTCCCCCGGGACCCCGGGGTCCCCTCCCAGGCCCCCGGGGCCGGAGGGCCACGGCCTGGTGCCGCGGCCACGGCCACGGCCACGGCCACGGCTACGGCTGGGACGAAGACGATGACAGAGTCTCACACACGCCGCAGGGTCGGCAGATTTCACAACGTCGACCCTCAGAGGTCTCGACCCATTCTCCAGGGCCGGCTTTTCATACCGAGCTGGCCGTCTTGCGACAGTCCCGCGGGGCCTGGCGAGGGCCCCCAGAGGCCGAAACTGACAGCATCAACGACAGCAAGAAGCGACAATGCCGTCGCGGTCGCCTGCACAGCGCGCGGGGGTCTTCCTGGTGAGGGAGCGGGCTGGGGGCCCGTCGCTCTGCCACGCCGCACCAGCCCGTGCCCTGCGTAGGGCGCCCTTGCCAGCGGCCGCGCGCTGCTCCCCTCGATGGCCGTCAGGACGTGTGCTGCACGGCCCGGTGGGTGCTGGCCCCGCTCGGACCCGGCGCCTGCACGCGGCGCGTGTCGGCCCCAGTGGCACCGCCAGCGCGCCGTTTTGCGGGGCACGGGTGGGCAAGCACTCGTTGGAGCTTTTTGTTCGGTCGGCGGACGCGAGGGATCCAACGTCGGTCAGGCAGCTGCGGGACGCGCTGGAGCACAGCAAGGCACTCTGGAGAGGAACTGGGAGGGAGGCGCACTAAGACACGTGAAGGTCGCGGCGTGTGCGCCGAAGAGCAAGTCCACGTCGGCGCTAACACACGCTCTGAGGATCATCGATCCCCGCGTGTCCCAGCAGGCTTGTTCTGATTGTTTGACGACCTCTGTAAAGTTGCGCGCACGACCTCACCACAATTGCGTCCCTGAGTTTTTCGTGTTCTTCCATCAAAACGCACAAAGCACACAACAACAACACCACCAACAACAACAGCAACAACAACAACCACAACAACAACAAACAAAATGCGAGCGCCGGGCCAAGACCCACGCAGCGCAGTACACGAGAGAGCAGCCCTACAAAGCGAGCGGAAGGTAGGCCAGGCAGCCGCTGAGCCTGGGGGCGTGGGGCGGCACGGGCAGGGGATATGCGTCCGCCCACGGAGGAGGCGGCTCCTCTCCTCCAGCTCCGCTCCGCTCGGGAGCAGGCCCCCGTGGCGGTGCGAAACTTGGATGGTAAATCACGGAAGGGTCCGCCCGTCTTGGATGGTATGTCTGTCGGCGAATGGCGCCCAACGGCGCCAAACAGCGCCCAGTAATCAGCACCCTGTAGCGCCGAATAGCGCTCAAGCAGTTCTCTATCGCGACCAGCAGCGCCCAATAGCGCTGGGTGGGGTAGATGCATTGCGTCCGCGCCGGATAGCGCTCAAGTAGCTCCCAATCGCGTCCAACAGCGCCCAATAGCGCCGGGTGACGGAGAAACCTTGCGTCCGCTTTGCTCGAGACGGGGCACGCTATTGGGCGCCATGGGGACGACGAAAAGCTTTCGTGAATTGCTTCTCTAGCGAGGTCGGCAGGAGGCGGGTGGGGGGAGGGGAAGAGAGGGAGGGCGGCAGCAGCCGGGTCGGTTGAGGCCCAGGTCTCGGCTCGAGCGAGCTCTGCACGCTAGGCCTGGAGTCAGGATTGCAGACCCCTGAGCCCTTGGCGCGAGGCGACCGCATTTTTGTCAGACAGTGCCGAGACGCGAGCGCAGCGGCACATCACAAGAAAGCGCCAGCATCAACACCTCCCAGGCCTACGTATGCGAGAAGGACGGCGTCCTTTCAGAACCAGCCTCACCAATTGTGGGCCGAGGTACGCGTCCTGCCAACGGAGCACCGGGGCCATCTCGCGACGCACGTCCTCAGGTAGGGCACCAAGCTCGCCGACGCGGAGGCCACTTTAGCATTGTCCGCGAAACGCCACATATTTCAACTACAGCTGCCGTGTCTTTGGACAGCGGAGACACCATTGAAGCCACAAGGGCTATTCGACGGCGGCAGCCATCATGAGCACTGCGCATGCGGATATGTGCGATGACCTCGCCGTAACGAAACATGTTGTGTTGGCCAGAGGTACCGCTGTCGGCGTAATAGCGCCCATCCAAGCCTGTTGCTTCGACGGGGCCCTCCCCGTGCCACCCACTTTCGCGACCGCTGCAGGAGCGCAAGCATCCGCTTAGGAAGCGCCCAGTACATCAACCCCGCAGACACGGGCGTGGCCTTCTCCGATTGGTGGACGCGTCTTCCTCTAATGTTGGTAGCGACTAAACGCACCAGTTGTGAAATGCTTGGCAACATCAGTTGCCGAGCAGTCGAATGCAAGCCCAAGCTGGAGATGACCGATTTGACGATGTGAGCGTTGCGGCCTCGTAGGAGCCCCGAGGAGCCGACCAGTGATAGTCAAGAGGATGGTAAATGCCTTGCATGAATCCTTAGGCAACGGTTGCAAATACCAGAACACCATCGTCATCGCGTCATCTTCATACTCATCGCCGCCACCATGCAATCACAGCTATCAGCATCGTCATTATCAATATCATCACCGTTTCTGTCCTCGTCCGCATCATCATCAACATCAACACCAGTATCAACATCAACATCAGCATCATCTGCAGCAACACCATTCTAATCGGCATTATCATCAGCATTGTCATCATCGTGCTCATCATCACCAGTATCATCAATATCGTCACACCATCATCATCAGCAGCATCACCATCATCATGCTCACCATCAGCATCACCGTCACCGTACTCACCATCATCATCAGCAGCATAGTCTTCATCAGCATCAGCATCATCGGCATCAGCATCATCAGCATCATCAGCACCATCATCAGCAGCAGCATCATCATCGCTCCCGTCTTTCTCGCCCTTACTCCCTTCCAGGTGGATGAAGCAGCAGTTCCCCGACCTCCAGGTCATCGGCGGCAACGTGGTGACGAAGCGGCAGGCGAAGCACCTCATCGAGAAGGAGGAGGAGAAGGAGGAGGAGGAGGAGAAGGGGAGGAGGAGGAGGAGGAGGAGGAGGAGGAGGAGGAGGAGGAGTCCGTAGCCATTTTGGCTCAAGAGGCTCAAGGCCGAGGTGGACGGGCAGCCCCTTCCATTGGCCTGGCTGCCTCGGCCAGCTTTCAGTGAGCTCCTGGTGGAGCACAGCTTACGTGTCCCCACACGACCCTCGGGCCATGGGCTGTGGCGGTGGCATGTGGCAGTGCGGCCATTGCGACTGCAGAAAGAATCTTGCCCATTTGACGTGGTGCATGCAGTGTCTTTCTCCCTATAATACTCGTCCCCGTGATCGTGACCGTGATCGTGACAATCGTCGCGGACGCGGAGGCTCCAGGAAGGGTAAGGGTGATAATGACCAGGCAGGAGGAGCAGGAGGATCCCAGGGGAGCAAGAGCAGCCAGTCTCGAGTCATCCACTTGGCGAATGAGTTACAGTCAGCCTTGGGAGAAGCGGTCAGCCCCGACGATCAGGCATTCGCAAAGAAGCTCTCGTCAGGAATGGCGGAATACCGTGCAAGCATATTGGCACAGGTACCCCAGAGAGTGCGATTCCAGCGAGCCGAGCAGTCTAAAGGGAAAGCCGAAAATAACCTCAACAACCTGTTGGATCAGAAGACCAAACTTCTGCAGCAGCGGCAGGAGAAGATCAAAGAGAAGGACGATGAGATCGAGGAGGCCACCAGAAGACTGGAGGAGGCGAAGGAACAGCTCAGGAAGGAAGGAGCCGTGGGAGGAGGCAGCAGCGACGAGCAGCGTCTGCGAGAGCACTTGGCGATTGCTTTCGCGGGATTCGACGCCACTGTCGAAACCGCCCTTTCCGAGGCCCTCGACTCTTTCAATCGACCCGTCCACCCAAGCGAGGAGGAGCATGCGGACGAGGAGATGGAAGATGCTGGCGAGGAGGAGGACGACGACGCAGACATCTTTGGCGGCCAGACCAGCCAAGGCCAGGAAAGGGCGGAAAGGCACGCTTGGAAAAAAAGGAAAGGGGGCGACGGTGGCAGGAGCAGGAGCAGGCAAAGGTGCGGCTCCTCTACACTAAGCCCCGGGAGGTCAAGAGGGTGTGGCAGGCGCAGGGGCGGGCAAAGGAGCAGCCCAAGCCACGCCCCCAGCAGGACCAGCACCAGGAGGAGGTCCGGGAGGAGACGGAGGAGGCCCAGCCACAGGCCAGGTCCTGTGGCCAGGGTGACCCGATCGCATTGCGAGCCATACGAGTCGTGACAGTGAATGGGTCCTGCTGGAACACGGCTCGGGAGGAGATCGAGAGGATTGAGGCTTCAACTGTGTGTATCCAGGAGCACAAGCTCCCAGAAGCAGCAATCCAGGAAGTCAAAGACAAGTTGCAGAAGTGCGGCTGGCGTAGCTTGTGGACGAGCGCCGGCACGTCAGAGGCAGGGAACCCCGTGGCAGGGACAGCGATCTTGGTGCGGAGATGCCTGGATGCGTGGTCGCCCCCCACGGGGATGGAGGTTGCAGCCCATAGGATTTGCCACTGTTACCTTAGGCCAGGCACCTTGGGCATCATCAGTGTGTACAGCGTCTACGTGCAAGACTCCATCAAGCCTGTAGGTAAGAACGTCGTGCTGATGAACACGTTAGGTTCACATCGTCTGAAAGGGGGAGTGCCTTATACTCCTGCTGGGGACTGGAACATCACACCAGGAATTCTCAGAGCACATTTCGACATGAATCTTCTCGAGGCCTCGATTCGATTCGACAACACGGCAGACTCGCACCGGTTTAAGGAGTACAAGCCTGTCGGAATGTCCCTGGAGATTGTGCTTGATATCAACGTACCAGTGCTCACGCGCTTCGCTCAGCCACCACCTCCAGAATACAGTGTTGTGGATCGGTCCTTGGATGAGTATTTCGAGGCATCTCGAGTGGATGGCAAGCTGTACACCGTCAGGGGCGTGAGCAAGCGCAAGTTCGTCTCGTTGATGTTTATGAAAGATGGGTGACCAAAGCTTGGGGAGAACTGAAAGCTGCCACCCAAGCCCGACCCACACCCGGACTTCGTGGGGGACTCCCATACCAAATCGAACACAAGCCTCTCCCAACCGTGCTAGCTACCAGGCAGAACACACGCCCCACCCCTGGACGTGCTTTAGCCTGGCCTGGTCAGAGGTTGCATGAATTCCGGACCTTTCACCGTGCCAGAGACCATGAGAGACCGACAGGACACTTCGACAGACTCTCGATGGCCACGGCAAGATAAGATAAGAAAGGGGGACCACTTCGACGTCATCTTCGGAAGGATGGAGAATTCTTGAGCACACTACTCAGCGCATTTGTGAGCAGACTCCAGAATTATCACACAGTGCCGAACGTCAAGGCGCTGTCAGATCTGGATGCCTGGATCGCCGCACTTGATGTAGCGAGCAAGCAGCAGGTCGGTATAGACAAGAGCACTCGACGAAAAAAGTGGCACGACTGGTGCGATGAAGCTATTTCTGGGGGGGCAGAAATCGCTCATGCCATGAGCTGTCTCCACAGTGCGAGGAGGAACAGTGTGTAGACCAGCGAGGAGAGGCAACAGGAGCTCAACTGGCAATACCTAAGCATCAGCAGGAGAAGCTAGGAACCGCTTGGTGCGCAGACACGTCTGACCCCGATGTCACGTATGAGGTTTGTGCGGCTCCTTGCGAAGTGCCGGCGCGCGTGTCGCCTGACGTTTTGGTGCGCATATCGAAACGCTTCAAGAGGCGGGCTACGCAGGTTGACGGTTTCCACCCCCGGCATTTCAGTATGTTATCTCTTGCATCTCTGCATGCATTGAGGGGTCTCTTTTGTCTCATGAACACCGTGGGGCACTCGCCCAGCCCCCTAGAGTTTGTGATTATCCAGCTCTTTGGGTAACCAGTCAAAGGGCGCAGGCCGATTGGATTGTTTACTAGCTTTGAGCGGATGCACGGAAGAACATTGTCTTGGGAAACACAATCTTGGGAACGATCTTCGGGTTCTCATGCATGTTTCTCGGTGGCTCCTGGGCGAGGGCCGTTGGATGCAGTATGGAGGCAGAGCGTGAGATGAGAGCCCCTCAGCAATGCTGGGTACCACGTCTTGTCTCTCCTCTGAGACCTCCGCCAATTCTACGAACGCGTATCCCACTGAGCTGTGGAAGCAGGCTGAATCTTTGCAGTATCCCGGAGCAAGATTACGACACCCTCCCCGCAATACACATGCCAATCTGTTTCCATTGCTCGTGACGCGAAATTTGCTTCGGGGCCCAAATGTGCCGACTTCGGGGGGTCGCAGAGGACGTCTTGGACGAGTTGCCGGCGCTTCGCGGAGGCCGCCTTCGCGGGGGCCCAGCGAGCCCGCCGACTGCACGCGGCCATACAGGTCGCCGCCAGCATCGATGATGCTCGTACCCGTCTGCACGGGTAGGACCGGCCCTCGCGAATCCGCGTTATTTCCAGAGGCGTTTTGTTTTTCCGCGGGACAGCGGGTGTATACAAAAACCACAAAAAAACACATGATGTACACCCGCCCAAACGAGGTATACACCCACCCAGAAATTTATACACCCGAGCAAAAATACAACACATGTTTCAAAACAGCGACGTATACACCCACCAAATCCTGCGCGCCGAATACTAGCGTATTTCTAGAGACGAAAACCTTCTGGCGCTGAGTCGCCATGTCCGTGCCTGCGGCGAGGGCCGCGTGGCTGGCCCATATCAGCAAGCCGCGGATTGCTTGCGCGTGCTCCCGGACGGAAGCTTCAGGTTTGTGCCGCCCCGCGCGCGTGGCTTGTTCGGCCATGTACATCCTGCCAGTCTTGCCGACGATGGAAATGCGACGTCGGGATATCATTCGGGGCCATCCGCGGGTTCTGCCGAATATATGCATACATGGGTGCTGTAAGGCAGGGGGGGGTCGATATCTAGCTCCCCATGCAGTCCTCAGGTACTCGATCCACTCGCATCGGTGGGCCAGGCCCGTACGTCCCGACGGCCTGGCAGGAGGTCATTTGTCGCCGCATCGGGGGGTCATTGCAGGGACTTCGACGGCCACATATGAGGTAAAGGCGTTCGTGGTAGCGGAAGTGACGGCATGGTCGAAGCAGGTGCGAGCAGGTCCATGGGGGTTCACTATTCACACCGTCGATTTCCATTCAGCGGTGGCGAACGAATGTTTCTTTACGCGTGTCACGCTGTTTCAGGAAAGGGCATTTTCATTGGCCAGACGACTCCAGGAAATTATGGGCGTGCCCCTGGCGGACGAAAAGATGACAGTGACCGGTTCCTCGGATGCTTTGGTGCTTGCTGCGCAGGCCGTTCTTGGAGACTTGGCGGGCCGGCACGAACGCGAACACTGTCCCCTCAATTTGGGTGCGGACTTCGGCACAGGTAAGCCCAAACGACGTGCTGGCGCCAGGGTTGTTCGGGAAACGCGTGGGCGGTGTTATCCCAGCCCAGCTGAAGAAGGTAATCCGCTTCTCCAAAAAAATGTTTGGGGCTAAGCTATTCTTCACAGGCTTGCAGCCCGCTGCAACGTACGGTGGGGAGGTGATGGGGTATGCTCCTCAGGAGATTAGACATCCTCGGCTGACGGCTGCTAGAATCATAGGCATACCAAGGGGTGGGATGGAGTTGGGATGGAGGCTCAACCTTTGGAAAGACCCTATTCAGCTAGCGGCGAGCACCTTCAAACGGTACTGCCAGGAGTGGTGGCAGGCAAGCGATGCAGACCTCAAGCACGGAGATGGGCTAGCAGCTCGGGAATTGAGCTACGGTCCGCACCAAGTTGCAGCACTTCACCAATCATCCTGATCGAGCGAGTTGGCTTCGGAAGTCTTCGAGCCCAATGGCGGATCTGCATTTATGGATGGGGGAGGTCGGGTGGGAGTTCGCGAATGCAGGCATGGTGACTCTCCGAAATGGTCAACACTGGCCCCTCACCGACACCCCTCCCCAAATGTTGACACAGTGGTTCGCTACGGACTTACAGGACGTGTACCACATGAGGGTTGTTGAGGGTAAGCTCTTTGACAACAAGTCGGACCGGGCCCAGGAGATCAGAGGGAGTGGGATTTGGGACTTGCCTGTTCGGGGTCTGCACAATTGCAAGAAGCTCAACCCCACCGAACAGAGGATCTTTAAAAGCGTGATTGTGACACCTACACCACAGTCAAGACCTTTTTCAAACATGGGGGTGCAACACAGATGGTTTGTGCGTGTATTGCGGGGCGCTTGACACGGTTCACCACCGAGCGTGGGTTTTGCCCCCATTTCGTTCCAGATAGGGAGGGTCTCGACGCTGAAACGCTCGCCATGGCCGAGCACATGGGAGAGTCTGGTCCTCTTTTCAGCAATATGTGGATGGCGGCTCCTATGTATACTGAGCGGCCTTCTGACGCGGCATTGGTATACATAGATTCGCGCGCTAACGAGGCCGCACCTTTTCGCTGCACAGGCGAGGAGGAACTTTACTGCGACGGTCACTGTTTACATATAGATAACGGGTAATCTAGCTAGAGCTGGTTGGTCAGTCATTGAGTCATTGAGCGCGACGCGCGGGGGAACATGTTGAGGGCGATTTGTGGCCCTGTCCCCGATGGTCTCCCGCAGACGACCCCTGGAGCCGAACCTCACGGTTTGATACAAGCGTTTGACCACGTCAGCCAAGATTTGCTTGATGACAAGGTCGTGCACGTAGATTGTCAGGCCTTAATTCATAGAGCTCTCAATCTGCTCTGGGCCAAGAGCCACTCGGCCCCACACGCAGGTTATTGGCGGATAGTGCAGAAGTTGGCCCGTGATCGCACCATCCCCCGTTAATTAAAGCTCACAGGTCGCTCGAAGATGCCACCTCCGAGTTGAACGGATGGCATATTATGGGTAATCGCTTAGCTGACAAGTGGGCCAAGGAAGCGGCTCGGGCCAACGATTGGCCCACCAATCGTTTGATTCGTTTTGAATATGTATGATATGTCTTTGGTTTCCAGGGTAGCCCAGGCTATGTTAAGCATCCTGGAGTTCTGGTCCCGCCACATGTGAGCTCTTAGGACCCCTCTGGCGCCTCCCTGGGACTCCGAGTGTCAAGAGCGCCATCGCGAGGTGCCCCATGCCTAGGTATGGGATGGGACAGAATGGAGGTGTGTGGCGTGCCACAGATCGGGATCCCGTCTGCTGGCCACCACGCGTTGTAGTCTCGAGCCGCGCCGTGCGACTCAAAGAGCCCACATGCCATCCGGCCGTCACCCCCGACGTCCGGAAGTTACGGAGAGGAATCTTGCCAGGAGGAGTGTCTGTTGAGCTCACCCCTCCTTGGCACTTCTGTTCTGCACCACCCGCAGGCGCCACCTCCTCGACATCTTCCCAGGTTGTACAGCGCCTTGCGGTCACGGGGCCGCGCCGCGCCGGGAGAGAGAGCGAGGGTAGGTAGCGCGAGCGCTCGGAGAGGGCCTGGGGTGATTCCCCTACCCTCTCCCACAGGGCTGAAAAGGCCGAAAAGGAGGAGGAGAAGGAGGAGGAGGAGAAGGAGAAGCTGCAGGCGAAGCACCTCATCGACTCCGGCGTCGACGCCCTCCGCGTGGGCATGGGCATCGGCTCCATCTGCACCACGCAGGAGGTCTGCGCCTGTGGCCGCGCTCAGGCACCGCGGGTGGGAACCATGTACCCCTCCTCCCCCCTCTCCTCCACCCCCTCCTCCTCCTCCCCCTCCCCCTCACCCTCCTCCCCCTCATCCTTCTCCTCATCCTTCTTCCTCCCCCTCCTCCTCCCTCCCCCCCTCCTCCTCCTCCTCCCTCCTCCTCCTCCTCCTCCTCCTCCTCCTCCTCCTTCTCCTTCTCCCCCTCCTCCTCTCCTTCTCCTCCTCCTCCTCTCCTCCTCCTCCTGCTCCTCGACTCCTCCTCCTCACCTCCTCCTCAACTCCTCCTCCTCGTCCTCCTCCTCCTCCTCTCCCTCCTCCTCTCCTCTCCTCCTCCTCCTCCTCCTCCTCCTCCTCCTCCTCCTCCTCCTCCTCCTCCTCCTCCTCCTCCTCGTTGGCCACGACCCCCCCGTGGACACGGAGCGTTTGTCGCAGCTGGCCCGCGCGGAAGGTGTCCATGTGACTGCGTGTCCACGGGACCGCGCCCCCGATTCCAGACTGATAGGACGGGGATATGGAGATTGTCGCCGGTCGTGCCAGGCCTGTTCACGACGATCAACGGAGAGGAAGCATGTTGCCAAATACTTTCCAGATGTTTAGACATGGTTAAACGTGTGTTGTGCTGAGCATGTTCAGAACATGCCCCGAGACGTGTCACGCATGTTTCACTCAATCATAGGATTGTTGGTGTGTCCAGTGTCATGACATCCACAATGACAGGCCTCTGCCATCTACAACGTGGCCAGGTTTGCCAAGAAGTACGGCGTGCCGGTGATCGCGGACGGTGGCATCGGCAGCCCAGGACACATCGTCAAGGCGTTGTGCATGGGCGCCAACGTGGCCATGTGCGGGAGCCTGCTGGCCGGCACCGAGGAGTCCCCCGGCGATTTCTTCTTCCAGAACGGTGTGCGCCTGAAGAGGTACCGCGGCATGGGGTCCCTCGACGCCATGAAGAAGGGTTCCGACGACCGCTACTTCGGGTCTGCGGCGAGCATCAAGGTTCGGAGTAGAAGGATCGGCACAACCAGAAAGGTTCGAAGGTCCGCGCGGGCTTCTTGGATCTGCGCTGGACCCCCCTGGCGGCGCCTCCAGCCCCGCCCCATGACGCGTTCCGCGCGCCAGCGAGGAGGAACCAGCGCCGAATCCAGGGAGTCAGCGCGGACCTTCGAAAGGTCACCTGCACTTGTGGATAAGAGTGATGGTGTGGCGGCGCAGAAAGCTTGCGCCCATGACCCCCCAGCAGGAACCCCCGCCCAGGACCCCCGCCCAGGACCCCCCTCACAGGGTCCCCCGCCCAGGACCCCCCGTCGAACAGAAACGGGCCCACAGCGGCCACGCACGCACAGGGATGGAGCAAGACCGCTCGGGCACCCCAGAAGGGGGGAGAGGTGGAGGAGGAGGAGGAGGAGGAGGAGGAGGAGGAGGAGGAGGAGGAGGAGGAGGAGGAGGGGTGGGTCAGGTGAGGTGAGGGGGGAGGGAGAGAAGGAGGAGGAAGAGGAGGAGGAGGAGGAGGAGGAGGAGGAGGAGGCGGAGGAGGAGGAGGAGGAGGAGGAGGAGGAGAAGAAGGAGGGGGAGGAGGTTTGTTCTGTCTTATCTTCGGCTCTGTGCTCGCTGACGTCGCTGTCGCTGTCGCTGAGGAGGAGGAGGAGGAGGAGGAGGAGGAGGAGGAGGCGGAGGCGGAGGCGGAGGAGGCGGAGGAGGCGGAGGAGGACGAGGAGGAGGACGCTGCTTCGTCTTCTCGAGGTGGCCCAGGGCGTCTCCGGCAGCGTGCAGGACAAGGGCTCCCTGCGAAGCTACGTGCCGTACCTCGTGCAGGGCGTGAAGCACGGGCTGCAGGACATCGGCGCCCAGAGCGCGGAGCAGCTGCGCGCGCAGCTGTACTCGGGCGAGCTCAGGTTCGAGCTGCGTAGCGCGGCCGCGCAGCGGGAGGGCGGCGTGCACGGCCTTCACAGCTTCGAGCGCAAGCTCTTCAAGTGAGGCACCCAGACGTGCTCGCGTCTTGAAAAGTCAAGGTGGAGGTGTCTCGTCTTCTTCGGTTTCTGGTGGCCCGCGCTGGGCCTCGGGGGACCATCAAACAACGTCGAGGCATGAACGGCGGGTCCCAGCGAACAGGTCGGGAACCTTGGGGTCGACGTTCGGAGAACATCGAGACGTCGGGGGCCTGTATCCAGCAGGGGAAATGATACCGATCCCGTGGCCCCTCCCTCACCTCGTCGTCACGGCTGGATTCGCCCTAAGATTCTGGTCACGACGCCTCGTTGGAGAGGTCTGTGGAGAGGTCGTATCGGTACGGCGGGGGCGCTGGTTAAGAGATGTGCCCAGGAGGCTTCAGACCTTGGAGGTTTCCTTAGCTAATGAGGGTTGCGGTGAGATCCATGGCCAACCCACGAGTGGAGTTCCAATGGCTTCCAGACCCTGGATTCCCTATTCAACGGCTCCTCATCCGATACCCTCACCGTACCCTTTTTGTCCCCCCTCCCCTCCAAGCACGAGCCTCCCGCCGACTCGGACCCTCAGATCGGGGAAGTGGGCCAGCGATGGGAGAGTGCCCCCTCAGGCGAGCAGTCTTCGACGCGCTGCGTGCCCACGGCTAGATGTCACAAGGAGGTGCCGTGGAGGGGCAGGTTGGCCTTCCTTGGGCCTCCCCGGCGTTTTTTTCGCACCGGTCTAAGATGCCCTCCGGCGCGGTGGGCCCTGAGGCAGCGTCGGCACTGCCCAGCGGCAGCGGCGTCCTGGCGGATCGGAGCTCCGCGCACGATCTTTTTGATTAGAGGCCCCCGTGCCGATAGCGCCCGAGGGGGCGCTTGGGGCGAGTTTTGCCCGGGACACGCGCCTCTGGCCAGAGGCCACGAGAGGGCACCTGGATGGGGCAGGTTGCACTTCCTCGAGCTTCCCGGCGTCTTACGTATCCATCTTCCTCTTGAGCGCGGCCCTGAACAGGCGGCTGCGCTGCACACCCCCAGATCATCGGATACCCGATTCTTCCGGTCGCGATGAATAGCGACCGATCGGCACTCGGGATCGGTCGCGACGGATCGCGACCGATCCCAAAGTCAGTCGCGACCAGTCGACACCGATCACGACCGATCGGTCGCGACCGATACCAGAATTTGAAGCAAAATCTGTATCGAGCGATCTCGTCGGTCGCGACCAGAAAATTCCAGCATCCAGTGATCAGGGCTGGCGACGGCGCCCCGGCGGTTAGATGCTCCGCGCACGGTCTTTGTTGCGACCTTCTGGTAGAGCCTGGCTCCTTGCCGGCGCACTCGTCGACCAAGGGGGGCGGGCAGCAAGTTCTTTTGACCGTCCACGGCAAGTTGGCGGCGCCGGCGCGCACAAAGGGTCGGGGAGAGGGGAGAGAGCCGTCAAGGAATGCAGGGGGTTTCTCCGCAGCGACCGGATGCAGTGAAGCAATCGAATGATAATGATGTTTGCCAGCGTGGACCCCAAACAGTGAGTTGCTGCACCGTGGATGTGGAAGATATGCCGAGTGAGCATTGCGGAATTGCGCAGGCTGTGTGCGAAGGAAGCTATGTGGTGTCAGCTATGTCGTGTCAGCTGTGTGGTGTGAGCTGGGTGGTTTTACGGTGCGGGTTTTCGTGATGGAATGTGCCTAGGAGGCTTCAGACCCGAGGAGGTGCCTTAGCTAATGAGGGCGGCAGTGGTACCCATGGCGCCAATCCACGACTGAAGTTCCACTGGCTTCCAGGCCCTGGATCCCTTGCCCCTTGTTTCCTTATCCAACGCCCTCACCGTGGCTCTGCTGCGTGAGCTGTGAGGTGTGAGCCGTGCTGCTCGAGATAGGGCGACGATATCTATACATATCCACTGCTCCTGGCCAGGCCCATCCTGGGCCCAGGAGCGGTGTATATGCCTCCCTGGCCAAGCCAGGAGGGCGTATACACAGCTCTTGGGCCCAGGATGGGCCTGGCCAGGAGCAGTGGATATGTATAGATATCGTCGCCCTACGAGAAGCCGTGAGATCTGTCGCGCGAGCTGTGCTGCCCATCTGGGGCACGGGGCGCCAACACGGCGCTTACGGGTGCGCACCGGGCGCAGCCTCGGCGGACCCCCGAGTTTACAGGGCGCCCGCGAGCGCCCGCGAGGAGCCCACCGGGGGCGGGCACGGGGCGCCCCAGCGAGGCGAGACCTCGGCGGACCCGCCCGGGGGGCACGCGGCGCTCACGAGCGCCCACGGGGCGCCCCCGTGGCGGGCAGGGCGCGCCGGCGTGGAGGAGCCTCGCCGGACCCGTCCAATTGATTACACGTGGCTCATTTCTAGTTCTTCGGGAGTTCTTTGCTTTTTCGGGGGCCAAGATCCTTTCATTTCTGATTGTTCCATCCTGGGCCTCTTTCTGGCCACCAGGGAGCCAGGAGCGATTAGAAACGAGCACAATCAGAAATGAGCACGATTGGATATGAACGACGTGTACCTGAGCAAGACAGGGGAGACCCATGCCACGAAGCGCCCTGCTTGCCTCCAGGGTGCCCTGGGTTTCTTGGGTTTCGCCGGTTTTGCGATGGAGGGCGCGACGTTCCCAGACCAAAATGCGATGGACGTCCTGGGGTCTCAGGGCTGGGCTTCTCGTGGAAGGTTTCTTGTGGTCGGGCCCCTACTGTACGGACACGTCTAGGGGTGCGACAGGGAGGAGATATTTTTGTAGGAATAGGGGGTGGGGAAGGAGGAGGAGGAGGAGGAGGAGGAGCGAGGGAAGTGGGCACCCAGGAGGACGCGAGAGCAGCGAGGATAGGGGCTACAGGAGGAGAAGGAGGAGGAGGAGGAGTTAGAGCTGGAGGAGGAGGAGGAGGAGGAATTGGAGCATCGAGGCAGCTCCTCGGCGCGGCGAGGGTTGTTGTCGTCGTCGTCGTCATCGTCGTCGCCGTCGACGTCGTCGTTGCCGTCGTCGACGTCGCCGCCGCCGCCGTCGTCGCTGCCGCCGTCGCTGCCGCCGTCGTCGTCGTCGTCGTCGTCGTCGTCGTCGTCGTCGCCGTCGTCGTCGTCGTCGTCGTCGCCGTCGTCGCCGTCGAGCGGCGCCATCGTCGTCGTCGAGCGGCCGGGCAGGTGCCACGTCAGCGCCCCGCAGGCCGCGGGCCCAGCCGCCGGCGCCGCGAGCGCGACTGGCGCCGAGGCGCCGGCCGCCGAGGCGCGGGCAGCGAGCTCGACGGGCGCCGCGGG